GTCTGGCAGTTGTCATTGACCACATTTGCAAGGTTCATTGGTCAATGGTAAGTCCTCTTTTAACATGCTACATTGTGTAATCAATAGGTTATTATATTTGGTGTATGGTATGATTAATAAATGTATATATTGAAATATTAAGTAAAAAGATGTGATATGATTGTAAATGAGACACTCCACAAGAGACCAAATAACACAGAAATAAACAACTGAATGTAACCATACGACCTTCGACAATGAGCAAAACCTATACTACATAGTTGGGTATAAAAGGCCTCCAAATGACAAATGTACAATTTAAAACAATTTAAATGAGAAAACTAGCGGCATGATTTATGTACAAAATAATGAATGAAAAACAAATATGCCTGTCTTGCAGGGTCTATCTGAACTTAACCTCATGTTGATGGTTTTGTCTGTTACTGGCATACTATGTATATGTTTCAAAATATTTGGTTGATGGGGTGATTGTAACAGAGGCGGATTTAGGGGGAGGGCCCATTGGTTGATTATATAGGGAATCACTGAAGCATGACTGGAGCAGGCCTCTCTTAGGCAGTTACCCCTCCTACCCCTTTCATGAAAAATTTTGGTTCCGCCACTGTGTAAGGCTGGCTTGGATTGGTTTATCTGATCATTTTCATGATCATTGATAATATTAATTTTTTCTGATACTTGAAGTAAAACTTTATCTTTAGGAATATCAACATAAAGCAGGTGAGAAATTTCAGCTTGTGCACTCTTGTTAACACAAAAATTATATGGACTGCTGCCACTAGAAAATGAATCGACAATGCATGCTTGGTATGGACAAAGTTCCTCCTTTTTACCCTGCGAAGCTGCGTGTTTATTTCGGGGGGTGGGAGGGCACTTCCTATATTCAAGGTGATAGGACGTGCCGCTGGAATAGGTCACCTTTTCAAGCTTGAAAATATGTGAATAGGTCGGGAAAAACTATCAAAAATATATGATGAGGTCAATAAAGTTTCAATAACTTCTTCGTCTGTCATCTTTCTTGGTGTTCCCGGGTGTGATTTTATCAACCAAGTTTTCTCTTTTAACACTTTGGTATTCTAGTCTTACATTACCCAAGCATTGTAGGGAAAAGGTTACATTTTTACCTACGCAATATATGAAAAGTTATACATTTTTGAAATATAAATTATATGAAAAAGGTGGGCCAAAGCGGCACCCCCTAAGTATTGAAGTGCCCCCTCCCCCAGAGGTATTTATACGTCCAGCTGTATGAACACCCTGTCATAGCAAGGGATTATATGTCATATTAGGGAAGTCATATTTCTATACCCTACGATATGAAAATAAGGAGACGTGGTATGATTGCCAATGAGACAACTATCCACCAAAGTTCAAATTTAAAAGTCAATATTAAAAAAAAACATCTCCATATTATCATCATAGGCCGATAATTACGTTTCTTTGCAGCTAGCAGGTGGGTCAAACCATTATTTTAGTTTTTACGCTGATATTTCCTCTAACTTGTTTTTCCTTTTTTTTTAATGCGAACTCTGTTGGCATATTGAAAGATACAACAGAAAATAGAAGATTAACAAATATCGAAATAAGTAAAAGGAAATTATCATAAATAGAAAACATTGGCCCCGAGGTCTCATGTTATAGGACTAGAGTTCCAAAAATCATAGAATCATGATACGAGAAAAATTTTTAGATATGTTCGTGCCTATTATTTGATAAAGTATATATATAAATCTTCAAATAAAAATGTTATGTGTGACTGTCAAGTATTTAGTCTTTGTTTGAAAATTGTAATGTCCAAAAATTTTTTGGGAAAATAAAAAATGCTTAACTATTATAAAAAATTTGCAGTGTTAAAATATTTTACATACTCCGGAATTGTTATGTTCAAAAATTTTTGGCAAATAAAAAATACGTAACTATTATCAAAATTTTGCAGTGGGAAAATATTTCACATACTCCGGAATAAGATCCTACCAATACTTGGAAATGAAGATATTTCAAGTAAAAAAGAGATTTATGACAGTAACAAAATGTTATAAATGACGCAAAACGGATAAAACGGTTAAAAGCTCATTAGAGCTTATGTTGACTCTATTTGTATACTTTGCCGACTGTAAAAAAGCTTATTTATTATTATTTATTTATTTATTATTTATAGCGTGCAGACGAACCCCGATGCCTTTATACTTGCTTGATAAATTTTGCAAAGATTGGTGTCTCAATGTGAATACTAATAAGACAAAGGTTCTGATTTTCAACAAGGCAGGCAGACATGTAAAACAGATATTTACATTTCAGATTATAAATCTGGAATGTGTTTCAAAATACAAATACCTAGGTTTATATTTAAGCTCATCTGGTTCATTCAGTTATGCTCAAAATGAACTATACAAAAAATCCTTGAAAGCTTATTTCAAATTAAGGAAAGATCTTTTATCACTTAATCCTGATGTAAAAACAAGTATTCATGTTTTTGACCACACTGTAAAACCTATTTTATTATATGGTAGCGAAATATGGGGGATGTTTAATTCTCTTTCCTCTAAATGTAAGAAGGAAGATATATCTATTGAAAAATTATATTCAGGTTTACCCTGTGAGAAATTTCATATAAAATTTTGTAAATTTATACTTTGGGTACGCAAGAAAACAACAAATGCTACAGTGTTATCTGAACTTGGAAGATTTCCAATATATTTTAATATTATAAAAGGAATGTTATTTTACTGGTATAGATTAGAGAAATTAGGCAATAATTTTCCTCTATTAAAAGAGGCATATACACAATCAAAGACACTACATCACATGAATATAACATCATGGTATGGTTCAATAAATGTTATTTTTAAAATACTTGGTATTGACTATACATATGCCATAAATGCTCCATTTTGTGAATCCTTATACAAATTTAAGAAATATATACAAACCAAGCTATCAATATTGTTTATAAGCTGTTGGAAAAAACAAATAGATAAATTTTCAGACAGTAAACTGAAAACCTACCTTTTATATAAAACAAATTTTGGTTTTGAAAAATATCTAACATTGATCAAGAATTTTGAACTTAGAAGAAGTTTTACTAAATTACGTGTATCTTCTCATAGATTACAAATAGAGTTAGGTAGATATCAAGGTATTCCCCGAATTAACAGAATATGTAATAAATGTTCTTCCAATACTGTCGAAGATGAGGCCCATTTTCTATTTGATTGTAACAAATTTGAGGATGATAGAAATTGTATGTTAGCTAGTATTGCAAAATATAATTCTTATTTTTATCATATGAGCAGTGAAAGCAAAATTATCTGGTTATTTAGTGTAGAAAATGTTGAGTTACTTAAAATAATATGTAATTTTATATACAAACATCTTCCTTAGTGAAGATTAGTTAAAGGAAATCTATGTGTGTATATACATTTGATTGGACATAGAAAATTATATTCATCTGAATATCACAAACATACTAGCCGATTAAAAAAAAAATAATTGTTAGAATATATTATTTATTCAAATGTTCTCTTATATCCTTGAGGCATCGTCCCCTGGTATCAACTGCATTCAAGTTACCTATGATGCTTCCTTGTTTGCTTTTGATACAGGTAGGAAAGAGACATTTACACACATTTTACATACCTATGGCCCATAAGGTATCGCCCCCTGGTGTCAGCTGCCTTTAGGAAACCATAATACTTTCCTATTTGCTGCTTACACAGGATGAGTCATGGACATACTTAATTTCTACTTTCTTTTTGGCTAATTATTATATGTTTAATTGATCCAACTTTTTGGGTACTATACATATATGGATATCTATTTTTCTTTTTCTTTTTGGGCTGCTTGTTTGTTATCTATATCAACCACATTTGCAATAAAATGCATTAGTATTAAAAAAAACATACTATAGATTCTTTGTCTACGTATTCTTTAAGAACTTAAAATAGTTCTCGTTAAACTTTTTTTTTATCTCATTGTTTGTATTGTATTATGAAAAATTATTGATGTTGTAATGTTTATGCCCTTTGGGGCCCATAATTGGAAATAAAATATCTTATCTTATACTATAGCATACTATATGGGTTTTACTTGTTTTTGAAAGCCGTAAGGTGACATGCAGTTGTTTACATCGCTACCCTTTGTTTACGGTTAAACATTGCGTCATTAGCAACATATTTTCATATATATACTAATACATCTAAAAGACATCTTTTGGTATATTCAACCAGTATTTAAATGAAAATAGGGTGCGAACGGATCCAAGGGGCGAACGTGTAGGGTGAGAATGTGTTTTTGGAGCGAACGCACCAGATACTGTCGTACATGTCAATATTTATATTTTATTTTTTTTTAAATGTTATGCTTTAATATATCATGTATAATTCTGTCCTTTTTATATGAAAAATGAGCAAACCACTCTGTAGTTCTGACCGTACGTATTTCCTGTTTTGTAGAACGTTTTGCATGGTTTGTTGACATCGGGAAAGGGTGCTTTCATACACGCCCGCGTTCCAATGTCGTCAAAACTATTTTTGAGAAAACCCCTCAAAGCGACCGTTTCCAAGGCGCTCGTCGTTAGAAACATGCGTTAAAATATGCGCACTGTTAAAGGGCCGAGCCACCTTAAATGGCAAAATCAAATTTCAAACACATCAAACGAATGGAAAACAACTGTCACATTCCTTTTAACAGTCCTTTCAATATGTTGTTAAGACGAGATCGTTCGTGTCGTTTACATAAGGTTTATTTCTATTTTCACTCCTGGTTTCTTTAAAACAAAATACGAAACGGACCATAATCCGAATTTCCAAGTTGATACGAGACTTTTTGAATGCCAATAAATATTTTGTTTAAATTTCACGACCCTATTGGCAAATACAACAGGCGAGCAAATACAGCAATTATTTATTGTTACTATTTTATCAAAATTAATTAAGGCCTAATGCAAATGTATAAAGTTGAATAAACCAATCCCTTAAACGAAGTGTATTATAATTTTATTTCAGCTTCAGCACAACTTGAGTGCTCGTTTGAACGTTCCAGCAAATGTTTTCTGAGAAATACAAAAGAGGACGATTTTGACTGGATAACATATTCGGTGAGTAAATGTGTTCTCATTTAATAAGTATCATGGCAATTTTATGTGGGGAACTTATATTTTTAGACATATATCTGCTGATTACTAAACTGAAAAGCAATCAAACGAAAATCTTACCAGAAGTCTGAAAGACGGGTTGGTACGCATAACGTTATGTTTTCTAATGTGGAATAACTACAAAATTATTGTATTGAATTATATAGATGTTACATACTACACATAGTCTAGATGTATAACAAATTTTCTTAGGTATAAAGTTAAACAATAAAAAAACCGAACTCCAAGGAATATACGAAATGGAAAGTCCTTAATCAAATGGCAAAATCAAAAGCTCAAACACATCAAACTAATTGAAAACAACTGTCATATTTCTGACTTGGCACAGGAATTTCCTATGTAGAAAATGGTGGATTTAACCTGGTTTTAAAGCTAGCTTGAAGTTGGTATATTGCTACTAAAGTGGTAACCAACTTAAGTATCTTAACGAAAAAGGTTGCACTTTGAATACGGATGTTGCAAACGTTGATGTGCATGAATATACTTTTCCTTCAGGGCCAAACACCTTCTGATATAACAGGACCAGATGGAGCACTCACAGGAGATAACTACATATATGCTGAAGGGTCATCTCCTAGAACCACGGGACAAAAAGCTATACTTGAATCAGACATTCACTTCCCAGGTAAATATTTGTTTTCAAATACACTGGATGTTAAGATGAGTTTGAAGATGTCAGGATGGGTAATCTTTAAATGGAAGCAGGCAGGTCAATATCATTTGCAAAGTATAAACACATATAAGAGAGCAACGGTGCATCTAGAAATTGAACAAAACCTTAACAATGAAGTAATGCTAACAAAACATTCAGGCTGAAATAAAATGATTAGAATTTTAAATATTCTTCTAATTTTCATATTTTACAAGATTTGTTTTTATATGTGAAGGAGATTTCAATATTTTATACGTTTTAATTTATCCTAATTTTTTCAATTTAACAGCGGGAGATTACTGCTTAACACTTAATTACAACATGTTTGGTGCTGATGTGGGATCGCTAAGTGTTTCTGTAAATGATTCTCAAGGCGATCGTCAGTTATGGACATTATCTGGAAATCAAGGAGCAAGCTGGAGAACAGCTAATGTGTATATACTAGCAGAAAGTGGTTTTAAGGTAAGAGAAAACATGTTTGATATAAATGTTCATGTTTAAGTACAAACAAATGGTTTTGCCTGACAAATATTCATAAATTGTATATATAGTTATGCTTTGAACATATTGAAAGAATAGATTTTAACATTAATTAAGATTCTTAACGAGAATTGCAATCCCACCCAAGGAGTGTTTCTCAACAAAATGAGTATAAGACATATATACAATAAATGTGACAATGTTCAATAGAAACGTAATTAACACATAAAAACACGAACACACGCTCCAATCTTACTAGTACATGAAAATGATTTAGCATTAGCAAACATATCCCTGTATCATTGTTTTTTAAATGGAAGATAACTAACTATAAGATTTGGATGTTTTTCTTGTTTTTTTACCTAAATGTTTGTTTCTTTTCAATTTTACTGTTGTGTGGTAAGATGGGCAGTTTGAACTCGTATAGGTTTTTACTCCCTACTCTCCCAAGCTGTCTTTATTAAGATAAGAAGATATGGTTCTATTGCCAATGAGACAACTCTCTCCACCAGAGGCCACATGACATAGAAGTTAACAACTATATGTCAACGTACAACCTTCTAAAAGAAGCAAAACCCATACCATATAGTCAGCTATAAAAGGCCCCGAGATGACAAATATAAAACAATTCAAACGAGAAAAACGGCCTTATTTTTGTAAAATGCACATACATAATGTGGCGGGGTTAAACATGGAAGCGGGCGCCCAACCCTCCCCTAACCTGGGACAGTGGTGTAACAGTACAACATATGAACAAACTAAAAAAATCAGTTAAAAAGGGCTTAACTCATCAGATCGATACAAAGCAGAAAAACAATCCCGGGCGTGGCAGGGTGTTTATACATCCTTTCAACACAAAGACACTAAGTACAGATCTGAGAGTTTTTTTCGTTTGAATTATTTTACATTTGTCATTCCGGGGCCTTTAATAGTTAGGAATCCGACAAGATAGGATACTGACATCAAACTTGCCATGTATCGTAACCAATAGTGATTGATATCGTTTTATTCACATTAATAGTTTGAATAGTATAGAGACATACAAGAGGTATGTACATTGCTAAACAGTTAAGTTTTGTACTTGTTTATTATGTAAGTTTATTCGATACTGTTAAACAAAGCCCCTCTCTTAATTTGTTATTTATACTTCTGTTTGTATTACTAGATCCGTATTGAAGGAGTACGAGGCAGTAACTGGGAAAGTGATATAGCTTTAGATGATTTAAAAATTTCCCCTGGATTATGCGGTAAGCAAAATAAAACATCTATCAAAATATGAATAGAACTTTCCTTTTTTATTTAAAAGAAAATATATAGTAATTAGTCCAAGTAATTATGACCTCGTCACAGCATTAATTAAAAATAGCCTTTCAATACCGTCATAATCATGATAATTATTTGGACCAGTATTGTGAAAATAATTGTTAATTTTTGGATCTCGTTCCATTTAATTGTTTGAATTTCAAGATTAAATATACGTCACAAAAATACGTCACTGTTTGTGGTGTCCTGTGTTGTCGTAAATGGAAGATTTCCGATGTTATTCTGCGGTTTACGTGCTACTTATGTACTCTTATATTATTTATTTATGCGTTTCTCTGTGCTGGGTGTTCTTGCGTTTGTTTGTATTGTATTCCTATTACGTAGTGTTGTCATTTTAGTGATATTTGTTAACATTGCCATATAAGCGGGAGTTTTGGCTAGCCATAAAACAGGTTCAACCAACCATTTTTTCTTAAAATATCCTGTACCAAGTCAGGAATATGGCAGTTGTTATCAAATAGTCCATTTTTACGTATGTTGGCGTTTGTTTTTGTTGCACTTCAGTGTTTCTGTTGTTCCGTTATTTTCCTCTTATAGTTGATGTGTTTCCTCGGTTTTAGTTTGTTACCCGGATTTGTTTTCTCTCAATCGATTTATGACTTTTGAACAGTGGTATACTACTGTTGCCTTTAAAAACAGAACATAGATGAAGAAAGATAAATATAAATTTATCATACAAGAACGCGTTTACTACTCAAGCAGCCTTGTAGAAAAATATATACAATTGAATGAGTAGGTCCTGCACAGGGATAAATGGCAGGTGGTAGATTTGGGTATGTTTAGATAGGACCGAAATTTTGTCTTGTCACAAGCCGAGAAGTCCAGCCCGCGAAATATGTTTATATCCTAGTCAATCCTTAAAATACTGGATATCTATCATAAGAAAATTTCTTTTTTAGTACATTAATTTTGAAGTGTCGCGTTAGAAGTATTGACCCTCATGTAAATAAAATTTGAGTGAATATTTATTCTAAAATATGATGGATAAATGTGTGTTTGACATTTCAGAGGATCCAAAACCATTAGATTGTATATCAAGTATTAAAGGTACAGATTACACTGGCACCGTCAACACTACAGTAGGTGGACTAACGTGTCAAAGATGGGACTCTAGTAGTCCGATTAAGCATTCTTATCATGATTATGATGATCACGAAAATTATTGCCGTAATATACGAGGAGACGAAAATATGGTGTGGTGCTACACCACAGACCCTGGTACGACGTGGGATTTTTGTAATGTCCAACGTTGTGGTAAGGGAACTGTAAATTAGTTGTTTATATTCAAAAATTAATATTTTCATTATAATACATAAACCCGTATAACGACCATTAACAGGATTTCACTATACTGAAACAGCCAACACTATCATATGTGATTTTCTGGATTTAAAATGGGACTCAGTTAGACCTTCTAAATCCTGTCATATGAAAATCAAGAAAACTGTCGTAATGAACGATGATTTGGAAGCATGGTGCATAGTTTTATATTAAGGATTCGGATAACATTTGGGATATATTCGTTGTCCAAAGGTGTGGTACGTTATTATAAAAAAGAAGATGTGGTGTGATTGCCAATGAGACAACTCTTCACAACAGACCAAATGACACAGAAGTTAACAACTTAAGGTCACCGTACGGCTTTCAACAATGAGCAAAGCTCATACAGCATAGTCAGCTATAAAAGACCCTGAAATTACAAATGTAAAACAATTCAAACGAGAAAACTAACTGCCTAATTTATGTACAAATAAAATGAACGAAAAACAAATATTTCACATAGCAACAAACAACAACCACTGAATTACAGGCTCCAAAATATGTGTAAAGTGGGGACTGAAATGGGGTTTCAGTACCTTCAAATTATTAGGTATCACTTTCTGTGTTGATTTAGATAGAATGTTAAATCTAAACTATGCTCCTCGAATACAAGAAATAGAAAAAATATTACAAAAATGGTCAAAACAGTCACTTACCCCGTTTGGTAAAATAACAATTATAAAGTCACTAATTATATCAAAATTAAATCATCTGTTCCTGTCCATCCCAGGTCCAGATGATAATATGATACGTCAACTTAATAGTAAAATTTATTCATTCATTTGGGATGATAAGCCTGACAAGATAAAGCGGGATCTTCTATGCCAAGAATACTTTAGAGGGGGCCTAAAAATGATTAATTTGAGACATTTTATACAAGGGTTAAAACTTACTTGGGTTAGAAGATTATTTAAGTCAAAATCCAAATGGATCCAATTATTTACCTCCACCCAAAATATAAATTTTACAGAGTTGGCTTATTTTGGAATTATTAAAAAATCAAAAAACAAATTTTGGGATGAAGTTTTTCATGCCTGGAAAATTATGTCAAAACTCAGACATCCATTTCATTTTGAGGAAGTCATTTCGACATCTATATGGCATAACGAACATATTAAAATTGATAACGTCAGCGTTTACTATAAAAATTGGTCACATCATGGGGTATGGACTGTAAATGACCTGTTAGATGAACATGGAAATATATTAACATATGAAAATTTTGAAATTATGTATAATTTCAAACCCATGTTTCTACAGTTTTATGGGCTTATATTAGCACTAAAAAAATGGCTACAAGCCATTGGAATCAACACCGAAAGAGAGAAAAAACATCAGGCTATTATACCTTTCAACATTAATATTTTCTTTAAGTCCGAAAAGGGCTCAAAGGACATGTATACTATTTTAAATCAAGGAACTTTACCTATAGATTTTGTAGCAGAAAAAAAATGGGAAGGTATTCTTAATAAAGTTATAGAAAATTGGAAAAAAATACACTTGTGTGTTACCAAGGTTTCAAAAAATACTAGGTTATGTTGGTTTCAATATAGAATTATTCATTATATCTTAGGGACTAATGCTCTACTCTTTAAAATGAAACTTGTTAACTGTAATTTGTGTACATTTTGCAAGGAAGAGCTTGAAACTATAGAACATTTACTTTGGGGTTGTCATATTGTAGCCGACATTTGGCACAATCTAAATTCTTGGATTTTCGATATAGTTCATATAGAAATTCCACTAAATTTGAATATTGTCATTTTTGGCCTCTATGAAAATTATAAATTGAATTTTATTAAAAATAAAGTTATCTTACTGACAAAGTATTTCATTTACAGATGTAAGATGCAAGATATAAAACCTCATATTAAAGGTCTTCAAAATTACATAAAAGAAAACTTGATTTTAGAGAAACATATCTCTTCAAAATATTTAAGTATGGAAGAACACAACTTGTACTGGAACCCCTGGGCTAAGATCATTAATTAAATTTAAATTAGGTTAATGTATATACATATGTGTATATATATGAGTATTTGAAAGAACTTGTATACTGGTAGTTATACCATATGCTTGCTCTACTATTACTATTATTACTATATTAATGAAAATGTTATTACTATACTTCATTCATAGATTTCATAGTGTTAGTCCATAGAATGCTTATCATGCTTATTTATTTCACTTGCTTGATTATTGTACCACAAGATAAATATATGTTGATACCTGTAAATTCATGAAGAAAAATAATAAATTATAAAAAAAGAATTACAGGCTCCTGACTTGGGACAGGCACATACATACAGAATGTAGCGGGGTTAAACATGTTAGCGGGATCCCAACCCTACCCCTAACCTGGGACAGTGATGTTACAGTACAACATAAGAACGAACTATCAAAATCAGTTGAAAAAGGCTTAACTCATCAGATGGATACAAATAGAAATACATCTAACAAAAACACAGAGTGGACGTGGCCGGGTACGTGTACATCCCAACAACAAAAGGACACAAAGTACAGATCTGAGAGTACTCGCAGTTACTGACAGCTAGTTCAAAGCCATTAACAACTAATAAAAAAAAATCATGCATCTAAGACTAAATTATCAATCAGTACACATCCAACATCAAATGGATTTAGTGTAAAAACGTCATAAACAGTCAGAGAAAAACATATTCACGAAAGTTTGAACCTTATATTATCTGCATTCCTTTCTATATAAATAATACGTAAATATCAATTATATTCATTGGAATATTAAAAGAAATTATAAGCGCTAAATTTTCAAAGTGAGGAACGTAACAGATGTATGGGAATTGAACTTTATGATCTTGAAAATTCATAACAGAAAAACTAGATACTATTTTTTTACTTTCGCAACAAATGTTTTATTTCGGGTAATCAACCCCTGGGAAAGACCCAATTTTGTGCACAATAGCATTGGAAAACAGTTTTGAATGAAGCAGCAAGTTATAAGGGGAGATATTTTTCAGATATTATTCTTTGTTATATTGCTAAAAAGCAGATAGACAACTTCTGTTCTATTAGGCTCTTTAGATAATATCTGATATTTTTCATCACACTTTTTAAAAATAGTTTGGTCAAAAAGGGGGAAGATAGCTAAAACAAAATTTCGAAATGTATCTTCGTACTTACGACATGTTGATAAATAAAAGATAATGCAGGATTTAAGCCAAAGGAACATTCAAACTCATAAGTCCAAGACAAAAAGACAACGCCTTGCCAAAAAAATGTTGAGGAGTAAGATCTATACACGTAGCGTGCTAGCGCTATTGTTTAAAATTAAAAATGTTTTAGAAAAAATGCTTCATATTTTGTATATGAAGATTTATGTTACCATTTAAATATGATACATAATTTTAATATAAGAATAAGCCAGAAAATCATGCGAAATCAAAGAAATACATTGTCAATAAGATGTCATTTGCTTGATGCAACCTATATAATGCAGGCTCAGATTGGTAGTATTTTATATAAAGATTATTATGGTACTGAAAATGATACCCAAAATGGATTTGATCATTTGTAAAATTTCTTTCTTTTTTTTACAGACATAGAAGAATGTATAAGGTCTCAGAATGGTTATGATTATATGGGAACCAAAAAAACTACAGAACAGGGATTGACTTGTAAAGATGGTACGTTTTGTACGGCTAGCGCAAATTCACCGGCACCTTTTTGCTACGTCGATGACCCTGACACCCGATGGGATTCATGTATCATACCTAAATGCAGTAAGTTTAAAGGGGGAACACAAGATAGCATCAACCTTATTTCTCGCATACAGTCTATATATATAATACAGTTAATTGATGATATATATATATGGTCATGACAAAATAAATTGATCAAGTAGTATTAACCGTTTAATCATTGTCAGGAGTAATTTCATCCAGGGGAAAATTAATTGGTCAACGTGAACAACTACAATAAGTGCAAATTGAACAAACTTACAACGAACCTGGCGAGGGCATTACCAGCCTGGCAGCAAGTGTTTTACTTACATAAATAAGATACAGAAGTAGTTTACCAATATTAAAACTTATAAATAATTAAGACGAAACAAATCATGGTAAAAAAACAGAAACTGAGGTATTTCATTGAACTCAAAATGGACTATAATTGAGATTTTTTGGGGAAAAAGAAACCCATATTAATTGTTCCAATTAAGTTTATCAATCAGTTGAACTCGTGTTCTTTTGATAGATTTTTCTCATGATTTTGATATTGATTTAGGTGTATTACTCTTCAAATTTAAAAGTATTAGATTTCCATATTCCGCTTTCGACAACCATCGACATGAAAATACAAATCAAAATGCACAAATGGCGCATCGATATATTGTTGATGTCCTATCACTGAATAACCCATATTTCAGTCCGTACTTGCATCTCATATATCCCAGGAAACTTGAAATTAAGTATACTACTGATACTAGAAGGACTGCTTCATACTTTAATCTTTTCCTCAATTTTGTCACAGATGGACGACTTCAAACTAAAATCTATGACAAACGGGATGATTTCAACTTCCCAATTATCAATTTCCCATTTCTCAGCAGTAACATACCCTCTGCTCCGTCGTATTGTGTTTACATATCTCAATTGATACGTTATGCTCGTGCATGTTCACACTATACCGACTTCATATACAGAAGCTGCTTCAATAGAGTTGAAGAGGAAAGATTAAAAATGACACTCCGTAAATTTAATGGACACCATCACGAATTGGTTGATCTATACGATGTGTCTGTGTCTAAACTAACGACATTTTTACCAAGTCTTATATTGTAGTTTACCGTCTACGTCGTGTTTCTGCTAAGTACCGAACGTGACCTATTCCTGAATATGACTGTTTTGCCGAGTGTGAATTCGCATTGCTATATGACGTGTCTCGGTATTTATACGTCAAACATTCATGTATTTAGTTATGATGTTTCTTTTGTATGTTGGTTTGATATTGTGTTATGTCTAATCGTTTTTGGTTTGGATTCTGTATTTTCGTAACATTTCACATATGTCTTATTTTTCAGCATAGTCTAGTTAATTTCCATTTTCTATGGATACGGTATTGTGTTAGTCCAAATAAGTATGACGTTGTCACAGCATATATTTAAAGTAACCTTTTGAGGCCGTCATGATTATGATAATTATTTGGACTAGTATTGTGAAAATAATTATGAATTTTTGGAACTCTTTCCATATAATTGTATGAATTTCAATATTATATGTACGTCACAAAAAAACGTCACTGTTTGTGGTGTCCTGTGCTGTCGTTAATGGGACATGTCCGTTGTTATTCTGTGGTTAACATGTTGTAATATGCTATTACATTATTTATTTATGCATTTATCTGTGCTGAGTGTTCTTTCGTTTATTTGTACTGTATTCCTGTAACGTAGTGTTGTCACTTTAGCGATATTTTTTAACATTGCCATATAAGCGGGAGGTATGGCTAGCCATAAAACCAGGTTCAACCCCACAATTTTGTCAGGAATATGTTATCAAATAGTCCGTTTCTATGTATGTTTGCGTTTGTTTTTGTTGCAGTTCAGTGTTTCTGTTGTTCCGTTGTTTTCCTCTTATAGTTGATGTGTTTCCCTCGGTTTTAGTTTGTAACCTGGATTTGTTTTTCTCTGAATCGATTTATGACTTTTGAACCGCGGTATACTACTGTTGCCTTTATTTGGCATTTCTTTTGCTAAACATAGCTTTCGATATTGCATAATTTCGGATCTCCAATATGTGGTTTGAGATATATAGTGCGTATGTAATGCATCAAATTAACTTTGATGTCTTATAATTTTGTATCATTGTAAGATTGGTTAGGTAATACAAATACACTAATAGCTATTTTTAAAAGATAGTGGCAGCTGGACAGCAAATTGGGACTAACATTATGGTAATTGTAAAAGTCGATGTATTTGATTTTAAAGCAACTCAGCCAGACGAATGCATAAAGACATCACTAGGAAAGGATTATTTTGGTAAAGTCAGTACAACCAAGTCAGGAAAGACTTGCCAAGCTTGGAGTAAACAGGAACCACATAAGCATGGATTTTGGGCTATGAATGATGAGAGCAATTATTGTAGGAACCCGGACGGAGAGCCAGCTCCATGGTGTTATACAACTGATAGTGAGACACGATATGAAATGTGCGATATTCCATTTTGTCGTAAGTTGTAGATGTTTTTTCTTCTTTTTTTCTTTTGATTACACTGAATGACATGATGATTTGTTCATGACAAAAACTATTTGGGTTATATAAGACAATCATATCGAATATACTAAATATTAATTTTTTCCTAAAACCAAACACTCTCCATGCAAATGATCTTAAATGGTATATCAAATGATTAACAAAATAATATCATAGAATCCACTAGCTTCTTTTATGAATCACAAGTCAATTAAGACTAACATCTTTGTCGTTACTTTGCCTGAAATGATTGAAACACATTTACTTTTTAATGCTAATTAATTGTTAAATACAAATATTTTCTCTCTTTCATATTCACCGTTGCATATGAATAATCAATTGATTAACGAAGAACATTTCTTCTGAAATTTAAAAATATGGATTAATCAAAACTTAGAAAGCAATCCATTATCATCATTTCATCGGAATTCATTAATATATATTGACTAATTACACTAATGTCCAACATTCTTGATATTTTCTTTCTTCAGTCCTTGAGTGGTGATTACATCATACACCATTACAACATCTAACCGTATACCCCATTCCCATACTCATTTCCCATTTTAATCATTCACAATTCGCAACATTCAAAATAATCCATAATGTGATCTGTTTGAGGAAATCGCAAATTTCAATGTATCTTTTATAAAACACAATTTGGTTCAAAAACTTTTCTTAAGCACTATACACTATTTCCCGGCGCCAAATTTCTTTTTTGTTTCCTTTGTGGTGATTCCTACCATGATATTCAACATTCAAATTGCGTATATCTATCAGACAACATCATTTTTTTAAAAACAAACTTATTGCTTATAGCTTTCAAAGCTCGTGCATTAAAGAAAAAAATGCTAAATTGCCATATAAGAGGATGTTCAGGCTAGCCATAAAACCCACCATTTTTTCTTAAAATATCATGTACCAAGTCAGAAATATGGCAGTTCCTATCAAATATAAAAAAGAAGATGTGGTGTGATTGTCAATGAGACAACTCTTCACTAGAGACTAAATGACACAGAAATTACCAACTAAAGGTCACCGTACGGCCTTCAACAATGAGCAAAGCCCATACCGCATAGTCAGCTATAAAAGGCCCCGAAAGGAAAATGTAAAACAATTCAAACGAGAAATCTAACGGGCAAATTTATGTACCAAAAAAATGAACGAAAAACAAATATTTAATACAGCAACAAACAACAACCACTGAATTACAGGCTCCTGTCTTGGGACAAGCACATACATACAGAATGTAGCGGTGTTAAACATGTTAGCGGGATCCCAACCCTCCCCCTAACCTGGGACAGTGATGTAACAGTACAACATAAGAACGAACTATCAAAATCAGTTGAAAAAGGCTTAACTCATCAGATGGATACAAATAGAAATACATCTAACAAAAACACAGAGTGGACGTGGCCGGGTACTTGTACATCCCAACAACAAGTAGACACAAAGTACAGATCTGAGAGTACTCGCAGTTACTGACAGCTAGTTCAAAGCAAATAACAACTAATAAAAAAAATCATGCGTCTAAGACTAAATTATCAATCATTATATAGATATAAGAAGATGTGGTATGAGTGCCAATGAGACAACTCTCCATCCAAGTCAAAATTTAAAAAAGTAAACCATTAAAGGTCAAAGTACGGTCTTCAACACGGAGCCTTGGCTCACACCGAACAGTAAGCTATAAAGGGCCCCAAAAAGTGTAAAGTCCGTGTCTATGTATGTTTGTTTTTGTTTTTGTTGTAGTTCATTGTTTTTTGTTGTTCCGTTGTTTTCCTCTTATAGTTGTTTTGTTTCCCTCAGTTTTGGTTTGTGATCCGGATTTATTTTCGCTTATTCGATTTATGAATATCGAACAGCATTATACTGCTGTTGCCTTTATCTAAACTAAAGATATTTTCCACATTATGTCAAAAAGAAATATGTTACATCGTTTTGGGTAGGAATGTTGCTCATGTTCAATTTTATTCAAAGTTTTTTTTAAATATCTGTGTAAGATGGTTACTCCACGTTGGTTATCCATTACGTTGCAATTTTAAAGACGCAACAGTGTCATCACAAACAACAAGAATTTAGCATACCATCCTATGCATTCACCTATAAGGAGGACATTATGACTATGCAGTATGGGCTTTGTTCATTGTTGAAGGCCGTACGGTGACCTATAGTTGTTAATTTTTGTGTCATTTGGTCTATTGTGGAGAGTTGTCTCATTGGCAATCATACCACATCTTCTTTTTTATATTATATTTAACGATTGATCAAATTGCTAGTTTTGTCATTACAGCAGCTTAATGATTGGCTCCTTTTAAAATCTCACAAAAAGGGATTAACAAATAAAAACTCTGTTTATTTTCAGAGGACTTAGTCTGCAGATCTAACCCATGTGAAAATAAGGGAATCTGTGCGGAGGTAGCTGGAGGATTTAAATGTAAATGTCCCTACGGGTATACAGGAGATACCTGCAGCACTAGAGGTAAATATTCATATTTCTATAAAGTTTAGGCGCATATGAGTTAGATTAAACTGGAGAAGAATTTCGTTTCATAACAGGATTATTTCCAAATTTAATTCTACATGCGAAGTGTTAAGGCCATTGGAAAACGCATGTACATTAAATTCACAAGCAGACAAGTGATAATGTAATCAACAGAAAATTAACATTTAAAGAAATGGAATTTATGATTCAATCTATGTGAACTTGTAAGATTGTAAGTTATACAGTTTGATGTCTGTGTCTGTTGAAATAGATTATAAAGATGAGTATATTATAAACAAAGAAAAACGCAATTAGAAAAACAATCTTGTCATACATCATATGCCTTACAGTTGGTAAGTTTGGAACCTCAAAAAATAAGTGCCTTGAATATTACAAATATAAAGCAACGAAAAAACTTGGGTTTAAATGAATTTTGTTTGTTTGGCTATGGCACCACTGCAATAAATTAGTTTACCAAAAATAACGTACCGAACTCCAAGGTAAATTCAAAAAGTGGAAATCCACAAAAACTGACAAAATCAAAAGTTTGACTTTATCTACCTACGGAATGAATGGAAAATAGAACTGCACTACCGTGTAAGAAAACATGTTTTCTTTTTCATGAATATTTTGAGATTACGTTTGAAAAAGCATTCCGAACATTACAAAAATTAAGCAAGGAAGAAATTATTTTAAATAAAAATAACTCTTATACAAATTTCGTCAGTCCGAAGTGCTTTTGTTGATTTTCTGTCATCAGGAACACATTAATGGTTTGATAATACAACGACGATTAATATTTTCTTATTAAACTACCTGAAAATAATACGAAGCTTCAATGTATATGTGCATACGAGTGCGAGCACAGGAATGTTCTTCGAATGTTCTGACTAAATCTAAGAATGCATCAGGATAAGTAGTAACTTATAATTGAGTGGTGACCGTATAGTGTATTCTTTATACTAGATGTTCTGTAATATAGACACATGGTGAGATACTGATGATCTATATCTTAAGTTAATTGAATGTTAAATACTAAGGTAAACATCTTCATTACATTCCTTGCCTCTTGGTTAACAGTATTAAAGAACAATTGGTTTGAATTGTATACATCAAGCCTGGGTAAATGGTCATCTGGCATCTTGGTTTGTCTGATGATGGGTTTGTAACATGTAAGACGTTTTGAATTTTCCTTGGAGTTCGTTGTTTTTATTATTTTACTTTTTATATATTATTAAGTGCAACATAGATGCATATACAACTAAGTTACACACTTAAACCTAAAATTTTGAAAACATTTTTACCATGATATTTGACTGTTGTATTTTTGCAGACAAAAGTGTGGAGGATTGCAAGAGGTCAATCGCAGGTACTGAGTATAAAGGAATGATAAACACCACCATCAGTAACAGGACCTGTCAGAGGTGGGATTTGGATACTCCTCATGATCACAACTATAATAATGTAAATGCAGAGAACTATTGTCGTAATCCAGACAATGAACCGGAACCTTGGTGTTATACTACTGACCCTGATAAGCGATGGGAATCTTGTGATATTCCATTTTGTAGTAAGTAGCTTATAACCAATAATGGTGATTCCTTCAAAAAGAATTACCACAACAATGTAAGGTCATATTTTCCTGATCTTCATTTTAGACCAATGGCATAATTCATAATAAATAACACTTCATAGATTTGGTGCGTAACAATTTTCTAGATTTGTGGGACTATTAAGCTTATGATACCTTGTAGATTTTAAAATTTTGTCAGATTAAAATTTGATAAGAATTTATAATTCAAATCAATCCAGTACATTTGGGGACTAAAAGTCAACCGGCAGCGGTATCGCCGCAGTTGTAGTTACCTACTCGTATCAAACTGTGTTCTGTGATAGAAAACACATGTGTTTGTAGGATAACCTTTATCAGGTACACTTTAGACGAAAACTTTATAAAGACAACACCATTAAATTATCTCCAAGAACATTAAAAACAAGATATGATTAAATTCGATTCAACAAAAAACCACAAAATTGATTTTTGGGGTTTCGTTCTGTTTTTTTATTGAAATTTGAAGTGAACAGGGTGAAAAATGATCTTTTCGTATATTTACTTTGTTTTTTAAAATGTTGAATTATTCGAAAGGTGTTTCTACTCCCAGGCATAGATTATCTTAGCAGTATTTGACACAACTTTTCGGAATTCTCGGTTTATAATGCTTTTCAACGTCGTATTTGATTTGGCTTCCAACTATTTTTTATTCGAGCGCCACTGATGTGTTTTATGAAGATGAAACGTGCGTATCTGGCGTTCCAAATTATAAGTCTGATATATTTGACGATAGTTTAAAAAATTTCCTTATTGTATATGTTTGTCACATTCCAGCAACTCCAGCACAAGAATGTGTAAGTTCCCTTTATGGCGATGACTACTTTGGAACTGTCCGCCAGACAAAGAATGGAATTCCATGTCAGAAATGGAGTGAATTGACCCCGCATTCACATTCATACAATACGAAACTAAAGGACCAGGATAACTATTGTAGGAACCCCACAGCACCTGGGGACAATTTCCCATGGTGCTACACTATAGACCCAGATGTCAGATGGGATTTTTGTGATATACCTAGATGTTAAGTGTACTACGATTGAACTTATTGTAAATTGAATCGATATATTGTTCCATTTAAATGATTTAAAATACTAGTACATGTTTTTGACTTCTATATGAAATAAACACTACTTGCAACTTTTTATTGGTTTTATATCACAGAAATTATATACAAACAGGTAGTCTATACGAAGAATTCCAATGTGGTCGGTACTATAATTAAGAATATAAATGACACTAGATAAATGATTATCAGAAAAGAATAGCACAAAATGGTTATTCCCAGCGAGAAAACAGTCGTAAAAATTGCATTTTCTTGTTTATTTTCACAATTTGCACTGTGAACTGATAAATTACATGAATTCATTCTTTGAGTCACTTTAGTTAATCTAACATCAATTTGATTACTTTCTTTGTTCATTTAACACTCATCAAAGACTCTCGATTCTAAACGATGGGAAGGCTAACAGAGTTTAAGAGATTTAAAACCGAAAACATTCAAGTTGTCGCTCCTTATTTGGCTACGGACATCCATGCCTGGGGTACAACAAACTTAGTTACCTCGTATTGGAGTGTTCAGAGTTAATTGGTCCAAAGAAAAAGAAAATAACTAGTCCTAACCTAATTTCGTTTTTTTTAATACCAATGTTTTTCTGTTTGACCTGTGAGATATTTACCGACTATAATACTGCATTTATTATATTTGCGCCAATTTCGTTTGATTATTTACGGTTCAAAAGTGCAATATAATTGGCAATTTGTAAAACATGTATAAGGAAAACAAGACATAATCTTTTTTCTTACAATGATACCATTCTGTTTGTTAATTGAAATAGAGTCTTTTTAAAAAGGGAAGACATGAAACAATAATTTTGCCCTACTCAGATTGGAAATTGTAAGTCTTTAACATAAACGTGGAAATATGGCTTATCAACTGATTATAAAGAGATAAATATTGTCAGGTTCTTGATTTCTTGTGGCAAGGAAAAGGACGATAAACGTTTTATGGTTCCAAAATATCACTCGAATGAATCTCTCGAGGTTACTTTATGAAAAAAATAAGGACAATTTAAAATTTCTATATATCTACTATAAACAAATAAATGTGCTTAAATAGATATTATGAAAACTACAAAAGCAAAAAGTAAAAATCAGGTCGACAATACTGACAATACTGTCTAACTCTGTTTAAAACTGGAAAATATGCCTTTACTTAGAATGCTTAGATTTTGTATTTGCCCTGTGTTTTAGTCACATCTCAACGTCACGCAGTTAATTTCAGTTTTTTAGAGTGCTTAGACTGCACTTCATATTGTCTACGTGTACCGTTATTGTAATACTCCTTCTATACTACACTTTCTGTCTCTTTTACTTTTCTCCATTTTTATATATGAACAAAAATGATACTAAGAAACGGAAAAATACTAAAAACGTCTCAGCTTCACGAATATCAACATGCTTTATAAACCGCACTTTTTGCATGTAGGACCAACAGGTTGTGAATTTTCTAAACGAATTTAACATCTATACGGCTTCCGCAGACCTAACAAATTCAAAACTACACCAGCTTTTAGGAAAAACAAACACATTATTAATTTTATTAAATCGAATCCATCGAAACCGTCAAAAAACAACAAGGACAATTACGTAAACAATTTGGAGATTCCCGTAAAATTTGCTGTCTTGAGTTACACGACTACAGAATTGGGTTGCTCAAAACGTTGGATAGTGTTAGCCAGTGGTTAAACTGCTTATCCACTGGTTAAGTTTAAACCAATGTATTATTTCTATTGCTTAAAATTATCCAGTGGATAAAACGCGCTATCCGCACGATAAATTTTAGCCGGTACTTTTTGGTTGGTTAAGTATTAGTCATTGGTTAAAAACGGCATTTACAATGGGTTTTTTAAATTCATATTTTGAAATTTTAGATAACTCTTTATATTAGTCATATGGTATTTTGAAGCCCATGGAAATTTTATCTCGGTGTAAATTTTCACCCCTCCACTTAAAAAAAAGAAAATTCTGCACTTTACTTCGATCGTACGTCATACACAGTAAACACTCACTTGTGGCGTTTTACATGGTGATTATGAAGGCAATAATTAATATATGTATATGTCAATCTATAAAGCCTTGTTATCCGACGGCTGGAGACCGGAGGGATTCCTTATCCTTACACGTCGTATCCCGAATTCTTACTTTGACGATCTTCATTCAAACTTTGACAAGTGAGTAGATTTTACAAATGTCAAAGTTGCCGTTTTGGGCGTTTTGCATATTCCCGTTAAATGCATGTGCTAATATGAACCAGAAGGTCAAGGTTGGCCATATCGTGCATTCTTATTGCAAAAAAAAATACATCATGCTCCTTGTATGCAGTTGTCAATATGGACGGGTATAAGACGGACGACATTTTGAGTCAGGCTTTGGATTTGGCAGAAGAGAGTGAAGATAACGCAATATTTATAACTCAAAGTACTTACATGTATCAGTTAAATGAAGGTTATCATAAATGTATTTTACATGCTACGGTTTTATCCAAAGGTTAGCTCCCCCCTTCTCAACATTAGACAAACTTTTATATTCGAACATACTGAGGGATAGGTGTGTCTGGATTAGAAACCCGACGACTGGACATGCTTAAAATACAAAAATACAGATTGCATATGTAGGACCCCCCCCCCCCTTTTATTGGGGCCATCCAGGGGGAGTTTCTGGGTTGGAACTCCTCTTTTTTGACGATCTTGAATGGGGACATATGGTTGGAAACCCCCTTTATCCTGGGTTGAAACCCGCTTTAAAAATTGGCTGGACCCGCCCCTGGGAGCCATCATTTGTCTTCAACAATCTTAACATTAATATTTATATAATGATTAAGACTTAGTCCAAATGAATACTATAATATATTTATGTTTTTAATTTAAAGTAAAAGTTCTATACGTGTATGTTCTTTAAGTCATTGCCGTATGGGATTAAAATTTTTGTTTCAAGCAAAGGAGTATTTAAATGATTTTTCTTTAATTCAAAATAGATGCTAAATATTTTTTTCGCTATTGGAATTTCCTGAAATATGTTTTGTTTAATATGTCTTGAAACAACTTGTAGTGAACACTATTAGTAATTTCTTTTGATCATGCTATTAAAAAAAAGTTCTATTGTTATGAATAACAATGGACTATGTTTTCGGGATGTAGAAGCAGGGGTTTCCAGAAACCCCGATCGTCACACCCTGTGGTCAAAATCCATTGTTATTCGTAACAATAGATCTATTCAATTAACACTTGCTTCAGAAATAGAAACTATGAAGTATAGCAATAGAATTGGGGTGGAAATATATATACACTACCACGGACGTATATAAAATTGCGATTACCAGTCCAGAAATTAAGAAAACATAGCTTGTTGTTCTCACCTGGGGCTGTTCAACTGTATTTTTATATCTGAAGGAATATTTGTGATTTTTTATATTAATCAAATCATGTCAATAAGATGGACTCTTTTTGTGTATAATTTTAAAAGTTTCTATAGCTATTGCTCGTAATCTTCTGACTTTAAGAGATGGAAGTTTTGACTTGTGTAAAAGATCTTCATAGGAGCTATTATAATCCTCATAAACAAATCTCAAGGCTCTCTCTTGGATTTTTTTCATCTTAACTGTGTTTTTTTTCATCAATATACGACAGCCGGCACGGGCACAGAACCGTACAAATGCAGCACCGGAATACGTCTCCAGAACCATTCAAAAATCATGCGCAGCACTTGTTAGCTAATTACCGACAAACAATTGTGACCTGAATGTACACCAATAATCACGACATATATATTGATCTAATCAGAGACATATATTAGATGCGACTGTCATATAAGTGAGAGGTTTAGCTAGCTATTAAAACAGGTTCAATCCACCATTTTCTACATAAGAAAATGCCTGTACCAAGTCAGGATTATGAAGTTATTATCCATTCGTTTGATGTGTTTGAGCTTTTGATTTTGCCATTTGATTATGACTTATATCTAGAAATTTACTATGAGGGTCGGTTGAAAACAAAACTTTACGACAAAAGAGATGATTTCAGCTTCCCAATTGTGCCATCACGAGTTGGTTGACCGTTATGGAATATCCGTTTCACAGATTATATCGGATATGTTCCTTATGTCGTAACTACAATCCCGTTCCCTTTTCACGAATGTGACCTACCGAATTACACTATTTACCCCTATTTGTGACATTTTTACCTTTTGTTTTTGTCCACACATCTTTGTCAATATAATGGAATTTGATGCGACTGTCATACGAGTGAGAGGTTTAGCTAGCTTTAAAACCAGGTTCAATCCACCATTTTCTACATAAGAAAATGCCTGTTCCAAGTCAGGAATATGACAGTTGTTATCCATTCGTTTGATGTGTTTGAACTTTTGATTTTGCCATTTGATTGGGGACTTTCCTTTTTGAATTTTCCTCGGAGTTCAGTATTTTTGTGATTTTACTTTTTACTACAACCAAGACGATGTCAAGTTTCTTCCTAGAAGAAACTTTACTGCTGGTGGATTATTGCCCGAGGGCATCATTAACTTGGTAGCTTTATGCATGATGAAAACAAATAATACAAAGAACAAACCGGCTGGGACGTCGCCCAGGTTCCAAGGTCCTCTTTTGCTTCACGGAACACTGTAGCATTTGATTTGTGTGTTCCACGGAATATCCTCCGGGATACCCCTGATTTGACGTACGTTCAGCCAGAAGGTAATTACTACTTTAAAAATTCAGATACTTTTCATAAATTAAAGCCATGTTGCGTTAATATTTTCGACTGTTTGAATACACCTTCTACAAGTGAATCAACACCTATCATTTCTTCTTGTAAACACAAAAAAGGAAAAAGGAGCACGTGTAACACATGTAATATGTTAATCACGACTCCTGATTTTACCAGTAATTTAACAGGAAAAACGTATTATACTAAATCTTTCGAGCCTCTGGACTGTTCCACGGGCAATGTCGTGTACGGAATTGAATATACTTTGTGTGGACTACTTTATATTGGTGAAACTCGACAAACTTTGTGTAAAAGGATGAATCAACACCGGTCTGATAATAAATATTTGCAATTCAGGGTTCTTTATAACCATTTTAATCAAC